TTCACAAGGATGCTACAGACCAAATTTGAAGTAAATCTGCTTGGTAGAGAAGAAGACAATTGTTGACGCATGACGACGGACGACGGACGACAAAAGACTCGAGATCTATGTCAGTAACGTTAATCAATGTGTTAAGTACTAAAATACTGATATTTTTTACAGTCGCACAATTTTTTTTTAATTTTCATAATTATGATTTACATGTATAACAGTTGAAATCATACGATGCTTGTTTATATAGTTGTTTTGTATTGTTAAACCACTTATTATCTATTAAAAATTAACTTATGCTTATTGGATTCAGAGTCAACTCGTCCCCTGGTTAACTCGTCCTCTGGTCAACTCGACACCTTTTTGGTCAACTCGTCCCTTGGACAACTCGTCCCTTGGACAACTCGTCCCCTGGTCAACTCGTCCCCAACTCGTCCCCTATATTTTATTATTATTTGTTTTTCATATAGTTCATAAATTATTATAGACTGTTAAAGAAATATATTATGAAATTACTGAATTGGACATATTTTGACGCTTTTTGTATGCGAAAATCTGGAGGTTTTTTTTTGTTGTTAATTAAATATATCATGACACGTGCCTTTGGTTATTAAAGTAAACACATAGTAATTTGATAATAGGATTAAAGACACATTTGCCTCTGTGGTTGGATACATATTTATATATTTAAAGAACGCGTGTCGATCTTTAATTTGAAATTATACAAATCGCGTGAAAATCGTGCCAAAGGTTGTTATAAAATTTTATTTTCCAAATGTGGAATTTGTTTTTGATGGTGTATGGTCAAATATATGAAAATGTTGAATTAAATACAAATAATACATTTAATATGTTGACTTGTTTTATACAAGAACTCGGTTTTATACAGCTCCTCTTTGAGATCAATTTAAAGACTTATTTATGGAAATTTAATATAAATCTTTACTAAATGGCAATTGAATATTTGGTAATTACTTTATGTTTTCAATCAGTTAATATCCACGGCAAATATTATTGTACAGATTTTTTTATTTTTTAAAAATATTGAAAAAAAATAAATAAATAAATAAATACTAACTCTTTCAAAAGGTATGTATGTATATACAACTCCTATGATAATGGACCATAATATTACAATGAAATGCAATTTTAAAAAATCAGAAACTTAATAAATTCATTAAATTTGGCTTTATACCCTTTACAAAAAGATAATAACAAATAAAAATTCTTTGACAATTTTTATTCCAATACACTATATAAGATGCAGTCTATATAAATCCAACAATATGGAATTCTAAGAAATTATTAATATGCACTATAAAAAAATAATCCAATGTTGATATAACGTACAACGCAAATATGATTTTAAGAATAAATCTCTTTTTTTTTTCAATGCGTTTATTTAAGGTCGCCGCCGGAAAGCCCATATGGGCGACTGTACACTCAAGTCGGGCCATCCTAGAGCGTCCCGCCGAGATTTTTTCGTCGATTTTTTTCCAGCTTTATTGGTGGAGGAAGACCTTATATTTATCAAGGCAACTTTTATATTGACAATTTCACAACAAACAATTATCATGTTTTTAATTGATCCTTCTATAATGAGATCAATACGCACCGACATAAAGTTTTTAGCACTTCTAATTTCTGTTAATCTGTCGTCAATCTTTAATCCATTCAGGGAGGAGGTAAAAATCAAAGAGTTGTACCTAATTTTAGTTTTAATTATCATTAAAACTCCGATTAATTAAACATTAATTGAATGTTTGCAAACTTACCTGTCTTTGTAGTTTGACATCAAAGCACGTGTGCTTAGATAAAGATCATTAAAATTTAACGTAAAAAGACGTTATTTTATTAATATTTTCATTATTCTTTTACATAAAAGTACTATTTAAAGACATTGATTTACAACATAATTGTGACGAATAGGTCGAAAGTAGGGGACGAGTTGACCATATTAGGGACGAGTTGACTCTTTGAGGACGAGTTGACCAAAAGTAGGGGACGAGTTGACGATAAAGGTGACGAGTTGACCAGAGGACGAGTTGACCAGGGGACGAGTTGACCGGATATCGCTTATTGTAAGTGTGTTTGAACAAAGGATCAGCCACATCATAATAAAATATTTGAAAAATGACACTGAAAATGAAACTGCATCGCTAATAACTATATTAAAATCTGTTAAACGGCCGTTAATGTCCCGTTTGAAATGATCGTTTAACTCAGATTTCTTTTTGTGATATGCATGTGGGCTATCATCGTTATGCTGTGGCTCGGACGACGGGATTAAGTGCATTTAATGTAAGAAGTAACGGCGCATGGTTGCATTCAAAAGAATGTAGTCTATTGTACTTAAGTATAAAAATGATCTACAATAACTAGGTGCATTTTTGTACATTTGCAAAAATCAAGCATTTTTGTTACATTACTCAAAGGATCTTGGGAGGCCCTGAATACTGCCAAATCAGGAATATATAATCATCATAGTCAATATCATTAACATTTCGGTCACAGAGACCAAAATCAAGCTTGTTCTCTCAGTTCCAACAACTAATCATTTCATAAGTGTCACTTTTTAGGGTTTCAGAACGCCAGTCTGCTAGCTAATTGTTGTTGTTGTTTTTTTGTTGTTTTTTAGCTCGACTTTTTTTTTTTGAAAAAAAAGTAGAGGTATTGCTATAGTCGCGGCGGCGTTGCCGTCCGCAAACTTGTACCTGGATCATAACTTTTTGTTTCTTTGTGTATTGTCTTCATAATTGGCCACAACAACCCTTGGAGTAGACCACACTAACCTTGACCTTCATCCATAAATGACCTTGACCTTCAAGGTTAAAAAGTCCAAATTTTGCTTGTTCATGCTGTTATTGGCTGTAAATTTGTTATTTTTGAATGGCTTGTCTTCCAACTTGAACATAATAATCTTCAAAGATATCCCTTAAATATAACCAGACAGACCTTGACCTTCACTCATAAATGACCTTGACTTTGAAGGTCAAATTATTGAAATTTTCATTTTTTTGGCTATTATTGGCTGTAACTTTGTTATTTTTGAATGGATTGTCTTCAAATTTGAACATAATAATGTTCAAGGATAACCCTTAAAAATAACCAGACAGACCTTGACCTTCACTCATTAATGACCTTGACTCTGAAGTTCAAATTATTGAAATTTTCATTGTTTTGGCTGTAACTGGCTGTAACTTTGCTATTATTGAAGGGATCAACTTCATGTAATAATAGAACATACTTAAGGGTTTATCAAACACTTGGGCTCTTGACACCACCACGTGACTTCACCACATGACTTCGCCATGTGACACCCCCACGTGACACCACCACGTGACACCATGTGTCAACCACCACGTGACTCCACCACATGTAACTATTTATAGAATTTTCTATTTATAGAATTGCGTGTTTCTTTTTATAGAATCACGTGTTTCTATTTAAAATATATAGACAAAACTAATGTGACGAGACAGACCGATTTATTTTAAAAAAAAGGAAACGTTAAGATTTTTGTTCAAACATTTCTTTGTTTGCTTTTAGAGAAAGTAAAAAGTCGAGCGTTGCCCCCACCCGGCGGTGGCTCCTGTTAAGCACAGTCGCTAATTGAGAACAAAAGTTTTTGTAGCAAACGTCTGGTAAAATCTTCATTTGATGTGTCATCAGAAATATCAAAGGTTTTAGAAATTTCATTGATGAAGGACTTGGTAAAATCATTGATAGTTTTAGTTGTTTCTCTGGTTACTTTGTATTTTTATTTGAATGTGTCCCTCTTCTAAGTGAAACATGTTGTCACAATTTTCATATAGGTATAGCTGTCATCTTAATCACTAGGATGTAAGTTGTTTTGCTCACAGCAAGTAAAATGGTTACTGGTATATTTGAAAAGGGACATTTTGATTGAGGGCAATACACATGTTATACATAATACAGTTTTCAGTAGATACTCCACTTACACTGTGACTAGTAAAAGTATGGTAACAGATGAAAATGACAATGTATTTTTTTTTTCTTAAATTTTAATTTGTTTTAAAAAAAACCATTCAATAACACATCTTTGAAATTTATAAAGATAATAAAAAATGCGCACAAAGTTACAAATGCATTTCACAATTATTGAATGCACAAAAACAGATCATAACAAATGTACAACATATATTTTTATTTGCCTTTGCTGCAGACATTGTTCCATTGAAAGAGAACTTGTAAACACTGGAAGATGTACTTATACTTCTATTAAACAGATGAAAGAGATTTTGATATTCAAATAGTAATCATACAATTATACAATAAAAAAAACCTACAATGTGTACCAAACCTTGACAAACACACATAAGTAAAATATAAGTTGTGATTATCTCCCTCTATTTTCGAAAAACCATGGAAATCGCAATTATAAACTGCATAAAATCTTAACTCGAAAATGAATCTACACAAAATACAAAAGAATAATCACTATTAAATACCTGGGTGCGGAAGATTTAAATATATCTTTCTGTTAAAAACACAAAACTTTCCAATTATAATAAAAGTATCCTTATCTTATCCTTATGAAACTTGTATTCAATTAAAGTTGATTTTACTAGGCTAGGATGTCACAAAGCAGTGTGTGTAATAGGTCAAGTTACTCCTAATAATTACCCGTTTTTTATTATATACCTTGTTGAATTTTAATTATTTAACAACTGTAACGTAGCTGCTATTACCTTAGCAACAACATATTAGAGATTGCACTGTTATGTTGCAGATTGTCATTCTGCCAGGTCACATACAAATATTTTTTTTTTTAAATTTTATCAAACATACTATAACTTATATCATTTATTTCAAGCATTTTAACCATATAAATTTACGGAAAGTCAAACAATTTTATTTTAAATGTTCAAAGAAAGTCAAACTTTTTTTTTAATATTCAATAAACTTATAAATCTTTCAGATTCAAAAATAAGTGTGATTAACAATTTGTACAGCTAATTTCAAAACTCAACAGTAGCTGTTTTAATTCTATATTGTTTTTTTTAATAACAATCAATACATTGAAGTACTGGTTCCATTGTAATGTTGCAACCCTTATTTATATGACATACCAATATAGAAATGAGATATAATTATTGACCTGCTTAACTTCTACTATCAACATTTTATGAAATGTACATGCTGTGAGACTCTTACTATATAGAAAAATTCTGTGGTGGCAAATATTCTCATGAAGCACAACTTGACAAATATAAAATAACTTATAAATAAACAACAGGTCCATCATTTGCACTCTTATTCACACACTTATCAGTCACATTTCATATTAACTTCATTCAAACTATAACAGTAACCCCTTCTTCAGAAATACTTTTGAAGTTAAATTTATAACTATTTTTAACTTTTATCATACACTAAAACTTTCACCACAGCCACAAGTTCCTTTTATATTAGGATTATTAAACACAAATTCTGCTGAAAGTTTATCTTCCACATAATCCATTTCTGTTCCTAATAAAGTCAATTGTGCTTTTGCATCTATCACTACTTTTACACCTGAAAATAAGAATAAAATAAATAAGAATTGCAATGCTAGTAAAGAACAATTAACATCAGAAATCAACCAAGCACCTTTTCACTTCACTCTATTGTCTTCAAACTCCTCCCCGATAGGAGCTGACGGAGAAGTCACTTCTCCTAGCTAGAGCCCTGTGATGATAAAGTAATTCTAGTGTAGTAACCCCGCCCCCATTCCCCAAATTTATTAAGTTAAATTTTAATGTAGTTTACACCAATAAATTCAAGTTGGATTTTAAAACTTCCTGAATTGCCATTCATCCTTCTATTTCATAAATCTATTCCTATGAAATTTCTAAATTTCTATGTATTTATTTTATATAGTTTGTAAGTCACATTTTAACTATATATGAGCCGCATCACGACAAAATCGACATAATGGGTTTGCGACCAGCATGGATCCAGACCAGCCTGCACATCAGAGCAGTCTGATCAGGATCCATGCTGTTCACTATCAGTTTCTCTAAGTGTTATAGGGTTTGCGGATGCGCAGGCTGGTCTGGATCCATGCTGGTCGCAAACCCATTATGATGGTTTTGTTGTGACAAGGCTCATATGTCATACACACACTGCAAAAGAAATACAGCAACCTTTACTGATTGAGAAAGACCTTTAAAGCCTCTCTTTTTATTCTTTAAAACAGTGCCTCTCTAAGCATTCTTTAAAATATAAAATTGTATGGCAAGCTTGAATTTAAAAAATAAAAATGAATTTAAACAATACCTATAAACAATTACATGTATGTTCATAACTTTATTTGGACAAAAGAACATCCTGTATGGTACATAAATTAAAATTAATTACATAAATTAAAATTAATTAAATAAATTAAAATCAATTGTTGCAATATAAAAAAGGTACCATGTCAGATTCTAGAATATCCAGGCAGTGATAGGCACTTTTAATAATTTCTGTTGACTTTTAAAGGTTTAGAATTTAAAATAAAGAAATCCTGATGGACAAGTTAAGCTGTTGGACCTACCATCTTGCTCCACTATTTCATCAAACTTTCCTTTATCATTGCAGTAATCTAAAGTGTATGTCAAACCATTACATCCTCGAGTCTTCACACCAATCTTTAAACCAACCTGTAATTCAGGAAAACATGACTGAGCCACATCACAACAAAACCAACATAATGGATTTGCAACCAGCACGGATCCAGACCAGCCTGCACATCCATGCAGTCTGATCAGGATCCATGCTGTTTGCTGTCAGTTTCTCTACTTGTTGAGGGTTTGTAAGCTAACAGCATGGATCCTGATCAGACTGCACGTATGCGCTGGCTGGTCTGGATCCATGCTGGCCGCAAACCCATTATGTTGGTTTTGTCGTGACGCGGCTCATGTAAATATACAGCAATATAAATTATAACTGTGTATCTGTTTTTTTATACAGATTTTGACATTTCTGGTCGAATCTTTGTAGTCAGTCTACCTAGCTGGCTTTCCTGGATAACTGACCAGTAATTATCAACTTCTCAACACTAAGCCCACATGATTTCTGATACAGCTGTGGTGAGAGGCAAATAATCATTAAACTCAATGTCTGTGATCAATTGTCAACTAGAGATACTGTCTTGTGCAAGGATCAAACCAGCAACTCCTGAATAACAAATTTGATGCTCGAACAATTGAGCTAAGTGGGCATACTTAATAAATTATCTCTTTAAAGAGCACATTTTTTTCTATAAACAGCAAAAGAGTTTTGCAACTTTGCTCCAATTTTATGGAACCTTTTAGATAATTACATGCCAGATTTTATCAATAAAACTGACCAAAACATTGTGCAAATTTAAGATCTATTAACACAAGAAGTTTGAAAAAGGAATTTCTACACCTTACAATTATATAACAATATGTTATAACTAAAGTCAATACAATATTATAAGAATCTTACACCTGCTTTCAGTACAGTTCAGAGCACTGTATCTAGCTCACGGGTATCTTTTTACTCCTCTTATGAGGCTACGCAGAGTTCAACTTAACAGTTAAGCAAGCGTTAGAACTTAGATATTCCTGGCTGTATTGACAGCCTGTGTTTGATTTTTTTTCTTGCATACATGTATTACATATAAATCATAAGAAATTACAGAAACTAGAATTCCATTTAGCATATTTTTTTTTCTTAGGGTAACATACGAATCACAATGGCAAAATGACATTCGGAACCTAATCCCTAAATTCAATTATTAAAGAGACACAGGAATTACTTCAATTCTACAGGGAGAGGGGTGTAATATGGATTTTTCTACCACTGGTGTAAATAGTAGAAACTCCTGTCTGATATGCAAGAAATAAAGATTATAAATACACTCACCATGTTTGGTTTCTCTAACATCAATTCTTTCACTTTTTTAACAGCAGAATTAGTCTGTAATAAAGTAAATATAAGGATATTGATATTCTACAACTTAATGAACAAGATGCTTATATAAATTTAAACCATCTGTTTTTTGTAGCAACCCAGCAGTAAATCTAATTGCTCAAAGCCCTGCACTTTGATACATTAATATTAATGTTGGTCAAACAACAAATGTAGAGCTTTTTTATAATTTATTAATTGATAAACATAAAAAAGAATGAAAGTGAAAACAAGAAGTAAGGTAAAAAAAAGTCAATGATGCTGGATGCAACATACAATATCTTTCTGTCTCTGGCCGTTAACAGTAGTCAAATTTTCTGAAAACTAATTTAAAGCTAGATTTCTCAGTTATGATTATAGAGTTTATGTGAATTGATATTACTAGATTTTTTTTCTGGGTAGTTCTAAGAATATGACATTTGTCTTGATGGAAATGCATCAGACCAATGCATCAGCCAGTCTCCTCAACTTACATGCAACATACAGGTCTGATTGTAGAGACTGAGTCTTTAAGGCTTTTTAAATGATACTATAGTCAGTAAAGAGTCTTAAATTATTAAGATAGATACCACATACTCCAGCACAACAGCCCGAGTTATATCCTCGAGAGAGACGGTTAAAAGTCAGCACAGGTAAACTTTGCCGGCTATTAAAAAAAAATTTCTAGGTTCACTATTAAATAATCTATCAGCATAATACTAATAGATACTGTTTATGTCAGCTATTTTATGACACAATAATTAATTATTCAGAAAACATTTGTTCTGTTAACCATGTGATTTTAACAACATTTAAGACAAAGACAAGAACCAAACATAACTCAAGTACCTACAAATTGTAATTCTGTACCTTGACCTTTGACTTAAGATCCTCAAAATATACAGAGGATATTTACTAGTTAATATGACCAACAACCACGCCAAGTAGGAGTGTAAGCGGGCAGCACGAAATGCCCAAATATTGCCCAAATATACCAAAACTACTAAAAACTAGACCTATCACTGAAGGTGATTAATACCCCCAACAAACGTCTTTGACTTTTTGAAAAATAAGTGGTCTGAAGAAAAATTTGAACTCAACATATTATATAGTAAATGAAGTATAAACTTTGTACAAAGAATTATTTCAATTAATTGAAATCCCAACCGGGGTCTTCATATAAGCTTCCTATACACCAAGTTTGATTCCTAACTCTAGTTATTGTCTAGACACCATTTTTCTATTTTTAGTAATGGTGACCTTAACCTTGACCCCAGGCAGTCCAAATGCAATACCAAACAGGGTCTTCATATATGCTTGCTATACACTAAGTTTGATTACTATATCACATTCCTAATTCAAGTTATTGTACGGAAACAATAACAATAACGGTGACCTTGAACCCAGGGGGTCCAAATGCAATATTAACCATGGTCTTCATATAAGCTTTCTCTAGACTACACAAAGTCTGATTACAATATCTCATTCTAACTCTAGTTATTGTCCGGAAACCATTAGGACTGTGCATTGCCATTTTTTTCTGTCACAATACATGTCACGATACTTGTATTTCAAAACGATGCGATTCACGATATGTATTGCATACTTTGATTAAATGCGATGCATATTGCGATTCTTATGTTTCGATGCAATACGTATCACAATACTGACTTTCAGACTTTATCTTTATAAAACTTGGTCATTTGTTCACAGTATAATTACGAATAATGTAATATAAAACTATTACAATAACAAAACCTTGTTATTATAACTTCTGTTCAAGTTTTGATCTTTCAGCAATTTACATTACTTATTACTTAAGGATTTTTACTTTTTACTTAAAGGATTAAAGGTATTTTTCATTATACCATAACTATTAGTGTATTGCGATACTTTCCCGCTATATCGATGCATCGGGTGGTGAAATATGTATTGCATCCTGATATATTGGAATTTATAAATTCATTACGATGCATACATCGAGGACTGGGCAGATCGCGGTGTATCGATGCATCGATGAATCGCAACACCTGTAGAAACCATTCTTCTATTTTTAATAATGGTGACCTTCACCTTGATAGGTGGCGCAATAGCTCAGTTGGTTAGACCACTGGCTGTCACTCCTAAGGTCCCGGGTTCGATCCTGAGTAACACCCTTGGGATATTTCAGAGACACTTTCAGTGTATCCTGCCTAACTAGAGGTGTACTGGTAAGAAATCCAGGTAATCCTCGCATGTATAAGTGCTATACACTGGGCATGTAAAAGAACCAAGGGGTCTATTCAATAAGAGCTAGGGTATGGTTCCCGGATTCCTTTGTATCTCATAGCTTTCTCTGAATTGACTAGTCTATAGTCATGTCTACGTCCCCGCAAGGGGTTTGACATAAATGGAAGATGGATGGATAGATAGATAGACCCTTAGGGGTCTTAATTAAACCATGACTCTTTTGTTATCAAGAGACCCATACAAACATGAACATTTGTTCAATACTTAACGTTAAACACATATTCAAATGTACTAGGTTTTTGTTTTTATTCCTTGCATGAGTATCTTACGACAAGTTTGTTGCACCACCAGTATAATTCAATTCGCTATGGCATGTTTTACAAACCGCTTTTTTCTTTTTTTCAATTGAAATACTAAAGTATTTCCAAATATTGGAAGTAAATTTTGCTGGTTAAATTTTATATTGGCATGACTCCTTTACAGCCATTATTGCAGACAGGATGTGTAATGTCACACTGACGTAATTATCAACTTAAGTGTTGCAAATTTTGAATAATTAAAAATATAACCATCTATAAATGTCATGATATTATCAATCTATATATAGGGATATTTATTTTCATGTAAAAACATAGTGTTCAATAAAGATAGTGATTCCATTTTCGAAAACTAACGCCTTTCTAGCTCAGCATCAAGGCACTAGTTTGTTTGCTTCCTGTCTTTAATCGGCAAATTTATTTAGGTACACATTGCATAATTCATACTCAATTTTTTTTTTTTTTACTTTTAAAGTGTGAGAAACAGTGAATGTAAATAAACAAATAAAATTGCAATCCACGATCTCTGGACTGACGGATATTCGTACTTGATTTTCTTTTCGCATTGTGATTATCCGAGTACTTTGATACTCGCCCCAGCCCTAGTTGAGGGCATGTATGTGAAAAAGGCTGAAACGTCCAGGACGTGTAAAATGTCCAGGATGTGTAAAGGCCAGACACCGTGTAAAATAGTCCAAGATATTTTTATTATTGATACTTGTTTGAAGATTTCATATACTTCTAAAACCATGTTTTCAAGGAAATTATAATGTATCTGTGAGGGTACGTCGTAGTAGTTCTGGCTTCCAAAACTTTATACGCCGCTATTTAACATTTTTGTTTTTCATCTGATGCGGCATTAAAGTTTTGGATTAGACCCGTTATGAAACCTAACCAGAATAACATAAGTTGATTAATTCTTGTTTTTCACTTGCAAATACACTTGACCCAATCAATTCTTGTGCATTTTACGATAAAACAATTATTTTAATATCGTTCTATACCAATTAAAGTATCAAAATATTAATACTGTCATTAAAATTGCCTATTTAACTGTAAAACATCAATTTGTAGTCGGCCATGACATTCAGGTGCCACGTGAGACCTCGTATGACGTCATTCGCGGGAACAGATTTGAATAGAGTCGTGTACTATATTTAGAACATTTTGTTGACATGATTTCGATATTTTTATTCAAGATAATGTTTTTATTTATTTTCATTAATTTTTTAGCACATAAATATGATTTTATTGAATATAAAAGTCAGTAAATCACCCTTTTCAATATCTTTAAAAAAAGTATCCACATACTGCCAGTTTTCAATCACAACCACTTTTCAATCATCCCTAGAATTTTTTTATTTTTTGACCTTATTTGTCATGTAACCAAACTGTAAGCACATCTTGCATTTACCTTGACTACATTTATTAGCAGCAATGTCAATTATGGCGATAAAAAAGAAAATGCTAGCATTTTAGTTCAAAATATGTGAAATGTGTGTTTTCCACTAATCCTTTATTTAGCCAGTTACAAATCGCAATACTTTTCTAAAAATAATTGATTTACAGACTCAGTTTTTTGTCAGTCTGCTGAAATGGATATTAAGTTGGACAACTGTTTCAATATCTTGAAGTCATAATATATACTGCACTTCAAAAGCTATAATTTTAATATGTACATATTTTACCATACAATTCTTAATTGAAAGGTAATACATCAGTAAAGTAACAGTCACTTAAACAAGGAAAAACATTATCTTTGATAACTTTTCAGTAAGCATTCACTAGAATGGTGTCATATAGACCTTAAGATCCTAAAAATTTCTCGAGAACATGCTTTTTCTGTTATGCAAATTAAAATGTACATCCATACCCCAATTGTGACAGCTTTACCACTGCAAATAGATATCAAGATTAAAAAATGGCATTATAATTAGGTTAAAATTGTTTATTACCATTTATCTGAAGTTGAGTTTGTCAAAATTTCTCCATAATACATAACTGATTATATTTTAACATTGTATGACAATTTTTATGTGGTACAGTTTATATTTTGTTAACTGATTGAAAAGTGGTTGTGAAATTTTGAAGAACAGGAAAATGGGTCAGTAATGATTTGTCCTCGATTCATAATAATAATTCAGGTAAAATTTTAAAAAGTTGGTGCATTTATTAGCTAAAATGATAATATTTGCAGAATTGAAAGAGAATTTCTTTTAATATAATTTCAGTGTCAGTTATTGTAGAAAAATCTGTTAGCTGATCGGAAAGAGGCAGTACGGGGATAATTTATAAAAATATTGGAGGCACATGGGTTCATAAAGGTCAATCTCGTAATCACGTGGTCAAACATTTTGGCAGTATGGCGGCCAAGTGCCGAAATTTTTACCTGTCGGAAACTATTAGGTAGTTTATGTTCGTAATAAGATTTTTATTTGTCCATCCTTGGCTTATCAACAGATTATATATAGTTTTATCAAGGTA